TGTAATATTAAGCAATATTTGTAAATATATTTTTACTTGTTTTTATTAATGCAATACGTGTTTTTAATATAATATGCAAGTCTATTTTCAACATACGGCATAATATAAAAACAGACGGATGTAGAAGAAAATATTGTTTTGATATTTAAAGTAATGAAATACCGAAAATTCTTATACATATAGTATAATTCTTATATAACAATTTAATTATTATAAGTCAGTTGTAATGTAGTTAGTAATTTCATATTTAGTATCATATTTAGCGTCATATGCTGATCTTTTACATCGAAATAAGTATATCATAACATAATCTGGTATATGAAGCATACAGTTGCGCAATCACAATCGATTTAATCATTAAATCTGATTTACTCTCTACAAAGGCAAAGTAAGCTGTTCAATTTCATTAATTTGCTCTCCCATCACTCGGATAATTCATTTCTAACAAAATAAATTATAGCGGTGCATTCATATGTCAAATAGGCATATGAAGTTGAAAAAGTCAGCAAAATCCAGTTTCTTCTAATTTATTATTTCCGGCAAGCAAAGCGATACAACAAGACCCAACAAGCTACCTATCTCCGTAGATTTTTTCGCTTTTGTTGCAAATGTCACATATTATACATTATACTTTATCAAACCTGAGACTGCATGATGATGATATAGTTGAATCAAATAAAAATTCAAGCACATTATCAATAGATATTTCTCGATGTCGTTTGTATAAGATATAAGATTATTATTTTATATTGATTAATGTGCAAACAGAAAATTGGGAAAGTATCTTGTAATTCTACAGGAGTGCTTCTACCTCATTTGTTAGTAATCTCAAACTATTTTATGTTTTAAATTGTTTACCAACTCAGAATTGATCTTTCCTTCAAAATGAAAATATTAACCAAGTTGCAACTTTACAATTTTCAAGTTTAAGCTAAACAAGCATATGAAAGTACTCGAATAACAGTATATTGTACATATGCATTGCATAATAATGTTTGTACATGATAACATGAGTTATATACATGATAGCACGTCTAGATTAGCCGTATTGTCCTCTGAAAAGAGGCAGGAGCCAAAAAAAAATAAAAGAAAAATACAGCACTAGATAAAATTTGTACATTTTTTAAGTCAACATTAATAGTGCGCACGCGCATGCAGATACACACACACACACAATATTGTATAGAATTGTTTATTGAAGTGAGAGATATATTACACATTACGAAAGTATACAACACTCATGTTCCGAAATTAAAATGTAAATTTTGCTCAGTTAATTTTGCCCAATCACTGCATGTGTCATACAAGTTATTTTCCTAATTACATCAAGATGAATCGCAAGAAATCAAAGACGTGTAAAGAAAAAGTAAAATAAAAGTTATAGTAAAATGGAAAAGAATCATATGCAATTGCACAACCTATATAGAAACAAATCTACTATGTATTCATTTATTCATTATATAAAATGCAAAAAAGATAATACATAATGTAGTGTATAGTTAATAAGAAAAATTAACTGGGAAAAAAAGGGGAAATATATTTGCTACACAGCAGCACTAATTATATTGAATTTTTAATATTCAGATTATTTAATATTTAACTATTTAATTTTTAATATACTTACAAAAAAGTTTATCCAGAACAGTGCCGCGAAATATTAACTCTTTTATTCTCAAGTTATTTAATAGCTACAAACAAAGTATTTGTTTATATTCTTTCGTTTAAGAACTTTTCTACGTATTTTATTTTTATTTTATTATACTATGTATAATAGTTTGCATTGTGAAATTATTGTATATAATGAAAACCTTTATTTTTAACTTTGATAAGTCATAAAATATTTCAAGAAAGTTATTTTGCAAGACTTTATTGCATTTATGATAACTCTTATCACCAAACCGTAACGACAATAACTAAAACATTCTATTTTACCTTATTTTACCGAGTTGTAAAATATACGTATCAAGATATGTACATACGTGTTATCTACACAAACGTAAAGTCGTGAGAGTCGTAGAGAAGACTAAGGAACTAATATACGTATATTCACCGATATGAAAATATAGACAGCAACAATATTTTATTTCATAATTCTAAATACGCAGCCATATGGCTACAATGGAAACGAAAGGGTTAAGAAATAATAATTTTAAAATTTATTTCAAGAAAGAAAAGGTGTTGCGTATGATAAAATGGGCTAATTTCGTATCAATTCGATTGTTAGTAAAATCTAATTAGAAACTAATAAACAAAGTAACTCAGGAAGTAGCTGTATAATTTTGGCAAATTTATTTAATTTAAATATACTCTGCGCGCGTGCATGTGCACACAGCGCTGTTTTTGTATAAATATTCACTATATATGTGTTGCATAATTTATATGTTTTCAAACCATGAATATCCCAGGTAGCACATACACGTTTCAGAAATGTTGTATAAGCGTTTTTCCGAAACGTTTTATAACTGATTTTTAGAAACGTTTCTCATGAGTAAAAACGTCCATTCGAAAAACGTTCGATGGAACGTTTCTTTTCCGATAAAATAACGTTTAAAAAATTATTATAGAAACGTTTTGTTTTAATGATAAGGACTTTTAGATAAAGACATTTAAAATTCCTATTTTGCACGTCTTTTGAACGTGTTTATGACGTCTTTGAGACATGCGTGAGAATGTTCTACAATTCTTTATGCATATACCATCTATGACGTCTATTCTTTTTCGAAGAAATTCCTGAACTGGCGCACATTCGTGCAATAAGTTAAAGTGAAACAAAATTATACTTGTCTCACTCTGACTTAATTGCATTACTGATGTGCATCAGTTCAGGAAGTTCTTCAAAACGGAACACACGTTATATAAATGTTCTTTCAATGGCCACGTTCAGCAGAACGTTTATTTTGCAACTGTTGGAAGTTTTCTAAACTCAGATTTGTCCGATGACAAATAGATTAAGACCGGTAGGACAAAATTAATTTTAGTAAATAAGTGGATATATGTGCATGGATAAAATGATTTATTTTCTGCAATAATAATTAGTGCAATATAAATTTAAATGTTTCAAAAAAGGCTATTAAAGCTATTATATATATATATGGATAAAGCAAATTATAATTTTGAAGGGAAAATTTAACAAATAGGTATTTTTGTTAATTGTAGAAACGTAAAAAATACGTTTCTTAAATCATGGTTTCAAAAACATTTTTGTTCAAACATTTCTTAATGGTTCTTTACGGTTATGAAACTATGTATATACGTTCAAAAAACGTATATGAAACTAATATGTGCTATCTGGGATTATACGAACGTTCGCGAATGCTTTTACGTGTCCGTATATATTTTCGTGAAAAATCTACAAATTACGCATTGTTAAAATCCACATCGAAATTAAAAAAATATAAGATTTTAGTTTCGTGTGAAAAAATAAGTTTCCGCGAAAACTTGTTTGTTTGCGATAATTTACGTGTAAAAACTTAAAAACTACTGAGATATAGATGAGATCAATTTCAAAAAAGGAGGCTGATTAAAAAATCTATATTGTTTACGTAGATTACGTTCGTCCTTAATTCTAGAGTAGATTGCTAATCAACAGTCTTTTCTAACTAATCAGCAGTTTGAGGTATAATATGTATAATTATTAGAGTTCATATGAGACTAAACATTAGTCTAATTAACTACTAACCGTTACTTCCGTAGACCAACTTCTTAATTAACCGTTAAGAGATCAGTGATTAGTAACCTACGGCGAACAGCGTATCTGAAGAAATATTATATATTCAAGATGCTCATTCGAGAGCTTAAAAATCGCCAAAGACGAAAAAAGAATTGAATCAACATAAATAAAAAATGAATAAAATTGATTTTATCTAAAAAGTAGATTGAGAAAAATCGATAAAAATTGGTTTTGCGAAATCATGACAGTTCGAATCCCAAAAATTGGAAATTCTTGAGATTATCAAATTTCTTTTTCCATTTCCTCTATGGAAGATAAAAAGTATCAAGTATCTCACGGAAAACAAGTATCTATATTTCTTTCTGTTGGCGTCTCCGTCTACCTACATCGTTAAATCGACGACAGAAAAATATAAAATCAGAAATTTCGAAACTAATCTCAAAACATTGAAGGAAACAGGTATATTAAGATATCTAAGCCAAATTATCAGAACACAAAAAATTTTATATGGAATTTGCTATTTTTTGCTTTTAAAAGTAATTTTTTTTCTCCAGCTATTAAAAAGTTACGAAGGGCTGGATAGCAAATAATTATCAAATTAATTCCATATAAAATGTTTTGTGTTCTGATAATTTGGCTTAGATAGCTTAATATACCCGAAGGAAACATGAGAGCATAAGCATTATTCTTTCTCGCTTATTTGTTAGATTAACGACATAACTCAAAAATTGTAATTTTCTAGTTGTTTGCAAAATTTTAATAATTAAAAACATTGAAACTTATCTTCTGGAAAATTTCGTTTTCTGAGTTGTGTCATTGTTGCAGCAAATGAGCGATTTATTGTACATAACTATGATTTTTTTTCCATTTAATTACGTATCTTTCAAGACTTTTGTTCAACATCTTTCAGATTTCTCTCGGAATGTCTCTCCTGTCCGGTCGAGCCATTTCATAAATCCGATTCCTTTTGCTTTTTATCAGCCGGGAACCGGGAGTTCGCGCAATCGTAACCGCGCGAAGCGAGACGCGAAACGGGAATTGCGGGAAATTCCAAAAGCACGTCGCGTTCGCGTCGCAGCGTCCGCTGCATATTTATGAGATGCAGCTAAATAAGAATTCTCAATCGCGCGCGTTCAAGGAGAATCGAGAGAAACAAAAAGAGAGAGAGAAAGAGAAAGAGAGAGAAAGAGAAAGAGAGAGAGAAAAGAAAAAGAGACATTTCCTCGACGCATTTTCGATCGTTTCTCTTTTCGATCGACGCTCTTTTCTCTCGACTCCCTCGAGCGCGCGTAAAAATATGTGCGGAATCAAAAATTGAAAATATTCTCACCTCCATTCTCATAAGCTTCCTAGCGATCCTCGAGTATCCCGAATAGCAGCGCGGTCAGCAAAATATATCTCGAGTCGACGATATCCAGCCTGCGGGACACCTGTCCTGATCGCAGAGGTATCCTTCCTCGCGAATCGTTTACACTTTATTGGAGCAAAGTGGATGCGAAGTCCGGACGGTCCGGACGTAGCATGGGACCGGATCTGTCACATACGTGACAGCACGCTGACACACACTGACTCAATACTGACACTACTCGTAGCACTCCGGCACTCGCAGCGTCCGCGTCACCGCCGCCGTGATTCAACCATCGGGAGGTGAAAGCGGGGGGTCTCCACCCCCTCGTCCCCGTCGCGTCGCTGCTACCAGTCCTTTCGGTTCTTCGGTATTTGCGGCATTCCGCGAACGGTCGGTACGGAAGATATTCTACTCTCGCGTATCGACCATGTGCTTTCACTTTCTGCAATTAAATAATAAGACAAACATAATTAATTTTGGAAAACTAGAAAGAAAAAGAGAAGAGTACAAAAAGGTTCAACGACAAAGCACAAATCTACGTTGAGCCTTTCTTGGAACATAAAATATCCACTTTTCTTTTTTTACTTCTCTCTCATTTTTTTTTTACTTTTTGATTTACTCTTATATTTCCTAAATTTTTTTATTGGCACAAAGAGCGAATTGCTTTCTCATTTGCAATATTTCTTTTCTTGTTTCTATACTTAAAGATTATATTAAAGCATATCGAATTAATCTTAATTTTCGTTAATCACAGTAGGTACGTCCTCTTATAAGGCTGTGGATAAATCCCATGAATTCTTATGCATTTTTATCTTTATTAGCTAATACAGTACCACTTTCTTGTCTTTTTAGCATTCCAGAAGAATGCTGCTTTTAAATAAATGTCTAGTTCATAGTTGCGAGTTTTTACATATCTTATTTCTATATACTCTCTTCCTTTTTACTTTATACTTTCCCCGAAATTTTATGACAGAAAGATATCTTTCATCGTCGTTATAGATTTCGTCATTATAGTTGCTTTCCATTTACACTCAAGTGATCTGATGAGTCATTCAGTTATGTGAGTATTTTATATTCAGGTAAGATAAGTTATTTATTTGTACTTATCCTGCTTATTTTGGTGACAAAGCTATCGCATAACAATACAGATTCGTAGCCTCACTTTTAATGT